TTTGAAATACATTGAGTACCTCACCCGATTATTTTAATTCATAATAATCATTTTTGTATTCTATCAAACAAAATTCATAATTTTCAGATTTTTTTAAAATTTTTTTATTTGATATTTAATAGATGTATTGTAGAGATTTTTTAAGCTCTTTTTTCTTTACCCATTTGTTTTAATTAAGAATATTAATTTTTATTTTATCCTTCAAAATTTTCTGATTTTTAAAAAAAATTTAATAAATGTATTGCACAGAATAATTCCTAAACTTCTTTCTCTTTATTTTACCCATTAGTATTAATTCAGGATTATAATTTTGTATTTTTTCAAACAAAATTCTTTTTTTTCCTTCATTTTTTGAACTTAATAAGTGTTTTTCCAGGATTCTTTTTTATGCTTTTCATTTTCTTTACATTTTTTGTATTATTACAATTTTATATGTTTTTACATTTACCTATTTTCTATTAATACATAAATGTATCGTAGATTATAATTATGAGATTCTTCATTCTTTGTAACTAATTTCTTTCAGATTGAGATAACATATTTCGTATTTCATCAAACAAAATTTCTAATTTTCTGAATTTCTTTGTCAATATTTTATTTATAAATTTTTTATTATCTCCTTATTATCTCCTTATTATCCTTTTTATTATCTCCTTATTATCTCACACATCTCTAAAGATGTGTCGTAGATGTCTTTCTTATGTTATATTGTTCCTTCACTCATTTGCTTTTATTCAGAGAAATATATATAGATTTTTTTAGCAAGTAAAATTCATCAGTTTAAGACTTTTTTACACTTACTTTTTACTCCTTTTTTTTGCAACTTTTATTAGCAATTTTAAGCGTTTTTTATTCTTCTATAGCTGAAGCAAGTGCTTCACATTTATTGTTTGGCATCATTGGGACATTAGAGAACCATTGTGTCTTTTTTAACTTTTCTGAAGATTCATTTTTAATGCTTTTTATGTTTTGATTGTCTAATTCTTTAAATTTAAAATAATAATTTTGAACTTTATCTAACGAAATTGGTAATTTTTAGATTTTTTTCTTTTTATTATATTTTTCTAAATTTTTTTTTTCAATTTTTTTCTTGTAGATTTATTGTAGCAGTTCTGTTTAAGCCTAAAATATTGTTTAAATTCAAATTAATATGTTTACATTGATTTAAAAAATCCAAGAAATAAATTAATGGATCCTCCACAGAATTTTAACATTGTTAGATTTCTATCTAATCTAAAATGCTTTTCTTAAATTATGTATCGAAACAGTGCACGCGATTCTAAATGATTTTTGACTTCAAGTTATTGACTGACAAGATTTTTATGCAGTTCTCGAGTTTTATTTAGCTAAATACATCGATAGTTGGGCTTTATATAGACATTTTTTTTTAAAAGGAGCAGTTTCACTTTATATTTTATATCTAGATTTTATGTCAGATTTTTTAAACATTGTGCAAAATGTATGTTTTATGGTTCAGAAAATATTGTCCACATGTTTCACATTACAAAGATAGTTTAAAATTTAACTAACATAAACACATATTCATGTTATCAAAAAAAAAAAAAAAAATGCCGCTGTGAGTGTAGATTTTCAATTCAATAATTCTCGTTGCTTTTTTAAACCGTGTAAGTTTTTCTAAATGGAATATACAGTTATGGTTTTATATTTTACTCAAAGAACATTAGAGGTACAAAAAAAAGTTGGAAGAATATTTCTATATATATAACTTTATAAAAGATAAACAAATTATCTTTATAGCAAATAATAATAAGAGCATGCTTCTGATAATTAATAAATTATAATTTTTCATAAAGTTGGCAAATTTTGCAGCGACGTCGAATCATTATCCCATTCCAACGGAAGCAATTGCTTTAGAGAGACAGATTTTTAATGTAGAACGATTGTATAGAGAACAGACGTGCGATTCCAAACAGTCGTATTTTTCCTTAAACAATTTTAAAATACCAATATAATCTACCAATAAATATTTGGACACCTATGCAAATGACTATATCGGCGGTGAGGAGATATGTCACACCCTTCGCCGGTATATCTCGTGCAGGAAACAACATCGGCAATAGTCCCATGCAAGATGCCTATTGCACTATTTTGGATGACAATGTGCTTCCTACGTTGTGGCAGTCTTACGAGGCGTGCACCTGTTACTTCCAGGACGACAATGCCAGCTGTCATGTTGCGCTGGTCACCAAGGCTTGGTATGTAGCCAATGGGGTTAATAGAATAGACTGGCCTGCCCAGAGCCCTGACCTGAACCCTATCGAGAACCTCTGGGACGAGTTGGATCGAAGAATTAAGGGGTGTACTACCCGTCCAAAATCGGTGAAGGAACTTACATGTTCCCGGAGGGTTCACGCTGTTATTGCCTCTCGTGGAGGCTTTTGCTCTACCAACTATTGATTATGATTGCTCTACCAACTATTGTTTTTCTTTTCAATGACACGCGTCCAAATACTTATTGGAAGATAGGGTATGAAAAAGTTTAAAAAAATAATAATTGCGTACACTAGGAGATATACAATTAAGTATTTTATAATTAGTGTGGGAAAAGCTTACAAAAAGAGAAAAGAAGTCAAAAATTAAAAAGAGATTAGTCAATTTCTATTCTATGATGCAATTTCTTTGTCCGAGTATATATATATCTTATATAAAATATAATTATATATATTTATATATATATATCTTATACATAATATGTACGATTTATAATTTTTTCGACCCGTAAATTTATTAAAAAGTATGGAATTGTCAAGATAACTTTCCTCCAAATTCTATAAAGGGATTCTACGAATAATTTTTTTTTCCTTAAGTATTTCCTTAGTATATATATATATA